CTGCACTCAAGCTAAATCAGTAAAAGTAAGATGCTCAAACCTTTGGAAATCCCTTCTTACAAGTTTAACTCACCAACAAAATCTTGTTCTGTTCAATCTGTAGAGCCTTCACATAATTGTTCTTGTATTTTGTCCTGAGTTTGTGGTTGTTACCTAAGGGAGGGTTTGTCTGTTATGAGCTTATTTTTTAGTGACTGTAAATGATTTCTTTATTGCTGATATTGGTTACTTGTGTTTCTTCTTTTTTTCTTTTTTAGGTTTGCTAGGGATTTTTCATTTTTATTAATCTTTCTTTTTTTAAAACCCAACTTTTGGGTTTTAAATTTTTTCCCTATTGTTGTAAAATGTTTTACTTTCTATTTTATTGATTACTGCTCTTATTATTTCCTTCCTCCTACATTCTTTGGTTTTGATTGCTGAAATTTTGGTTTTTCTCCCTTGTGATAAAAGCTTAATTCATTGATTTTCCACCTTTCTTCTTTCCTAGTATACTATTTATAGTTAAGGGTGATTTTCCCTAAGCACTGTTCTAGCTGTATCCTACAACTTTTAACGTTTTATGTTTTCATCATCATTTCTTTTAAAACATTTTTTACTTTTTGTTTAGATTTCCTCAATAATTTTTAGAACACTTTTGAGAGTGCTGAAATACATGAATTATATTGGATGCCAGGAAAGCAGGTGTAATCTGGGACTGTCCAGGGCACATGAGAACTTACGTTCATCCCAATTGTAGTGGATCCTTAAGTATAAGCAGAAAACTGGGGTTTTAAGTTAAAATTTAAAAATCCACTTTATACTCATCTGGGAATATTCAGTGTAATAGGGTAGATGTGTCAAAAGATAAACATGTTTTGGTTCAAGGAGATTTTTCAAGTAAATGTATCTATAAAGGTGAACAAGACATTTTTAGTGGTAAACACTAAAACACTAAACATTTTTAGTGTTAAAGGAAAAAGAAATTCCAGAGGTAGAATGGCCCAGCACAGGTATATCTCACAATCGGGGACTGTTCTTCTTTGCATGGAGCCCAAGTAAGGAATTTAACAACTGCTGACTAATGCCTGGTGCCCCTTTCCTGTGTCAAGTAGAGGAGTCTCATAGGCATAAAGCTGCAGTGCTAATCTAAGCCCATGCATTGTTCTAATTATCCTGGACATTTCTGATGAGGTATCAATTCCTCCTCAGTATGAATAATTATGGGAGCCCAGGGAAAGGCCAGATATTTAAAACCATTCCATGTGAAGCTTTTTACATCACATCTACTGATTTTGCATGAAAGATCATTTAGACTAGTGCTGATCCCCTCTGAAGAAATACATATTTCTTGGCCCAATAAGTAGTGTTAGCAGAGGGAAATATTTTGACTGTTTTTTCCTAGTTTAAGAATATTAAGTTTCTTGTAGGATAAGAAGAAAGTTAAAAATCCTAGCAAACATTTTCATCGTAAACTCAGAACTAAACTACACAACTTTTTTTTTAACTTTTTTGTTCACAGCTCTTGTTCTATCTTTCTTTGAATTATATTTTCTTAGAAAACACTTTTTAAATTATTTTCAAATTTGGTAGCATTAATTAATTGCATTCTCTACATTGAATTGTTTCATAATCTCATCCATATCCATTATGATATTTAGTTTCTCATTTGTAATACTGTATCTTTGGATTTTTCTCTCAGTAACTTCGAAGGATTAAAAAAAATCTATTTTAATGCTATTTTCATAGAATGATGCTTTAGATTTAGGCATTAATTATTTCCTTTTCTAATGTTACTAATTTTTGTCTTTTTCTGAATTTAATCTTTCTTCCTGCTTCTCTTAGGTATTTTTGTTTTTCATTGTAGCACTTTTAAAGGCAATAATTAAAATATAGCTGTAGGGCTTCCCTGGTGGCGCAGTGGTTGAGAGTCTGCCTGCTGATGCAGGGGACACGGGTTCGTGCCCTGGTCTGGGAAGATCCCACATGCTGCGGAGCGGCTGGGCCCGTGAGCCATGGCCCGCAGAGACTGCGTGTCCGGAGCCTGTGCTCCGCAGCAGGAGAGGCCACAAAAGTGAGAGCCCCGCATACAGCAAAAAAATAAATAAATAAATAATATATAGCTGTAGTGGCCTATTATAATTTCCAGGTAAGCCCTGTCCAGTAGTACTTCCTGTGTTGATGGAAATATTCTATATCTACACTGACCAGTATAATAGCCATTAAACACATATGGCTATTGGGTACTTACAATGTGGCTGATATGATTGAGGAACTGAATTTTTAATTTTGTTTTAATAATTTAAATTTAAACACTACTTTTGGCTAGTTGCTGCTATATTGGACAGCATAGCTCTAGATCAGTATTTAGCAAAATTTTTCTATGAAAGACCAAATAGAAAATATTTTAGGCTTTGCAGACCATATGGTCCCTGTTGCAACTACTTAGCTCTGTTGTTGTAGCAAAAAAGCAGCCATAGACAACATGTAAACGAATGAGCATGGCTGTGTTCCAGTAAAACCTTATTTGCTAAAATGGAGTGGGCAGGATTTGGCTTATGGGCCCTAGTTTGACAACCTCTGCTCTACATGAAAGATGTATCTATTTATTTTTCTTTTTCCTGCTCTGTATTCCCTGGGGGTCTTTTCCTGTAACATTTTAGATTATTACCCTCCTTGGGTTGTTATTCTGTATTTCTTCAACTTTTGTTTCAACTTTTCTATTTTTTTGTATATGCGGGGGGAGTTGGTGGTGGACAGGCATTCTATTTTAAATTTCTTTAAACTCTACTCTTTGTTGTTTTAATTCTACTCTTTTTCATATGCCTGTTGTCGCATAGATACAATATCTTAACTAATATCTCTGAAGATGTTAAATAGAATTATTTTCCTCCCTGAATTACCTCTGATTTCTCCAGAGTTGCTTGTTCTGTTTTTCATCATGGGCCTTCTTTTTCATTCTTGTGGTTTCCTTAAATGTTGGTGATACTTGGTTGTTCATTCATGTTGATATATGACCAGTTGAATAATATAGATAACTGGAGTGGGTTTTCTCTTCTTTTCTTTCTCTAGCAAATTACCCTAAATGGAAAGAATACTGATGGGAATTCCTTATGGGTAGGTAGGACTTAGTATTTTTTTATTAAAGTACGTCGATTTACAATATTATATTAATTTCAGGTGTATAATATAGTGATTCAGTATTTTTATAGTTTGTACTCTATTTAAAGTTATTATAAAATATTGGCTATATTGCCTGTTCTGTGCAATATATCCTTGTAGTTTCTCTACTTTGTACATAGTAGTTTGTATCTCTTAATCCCTTACCCCTATTTTGCCCCTCCCCCCACCCCTCTCCCCACTGATAATCACTTGTTTACTCTCTATATCTATGATTCTGTTTCTGTTTTGTCATATTCATTCATTTTATTTTTTAGATTTCACATATAATTGATAACATACAGTATTTGTCTTTCTCTGTCTGACTTATTTCATTAAGCAAAATATACTCCAGGTCCATCCATATTGTTGCAAATGGCAGAATTTCTTTTTTTTATGACTAATATTCCATTGTATATGTATACCACATCTTCTTTATCCATTCATCTGTTGATGGACACTTAGATTGCTTTCATATCTTAGCTATTGTAAATAATGCTGCTGTGAACACTGGGGTGCATATATCTTTTCAAATTGTGTGTTTTTGTTTTCTTTGGATATATATCCAGAAGTGGAATTGTTGGATCATGTAGTTCTATTTTTAATTTTTTTGAGGACTCTCCATGCTGTTTTCCATAGTGGCTCTACCAATTTACATTCTCACTACCAGTACATGAGGGTTCCCGATTCTCAGACTCCTCACCAACATTTGTTAGTTGTGGTCTTTTTGATGATAGCCATTCTGACAGTCGTGAGGTAATATCTCATCGGAGTTTTGAGTGACATTTTTCTGATGATTACCGATGTACATCTTTTCATGTGCCTGCTGGCTGTCTGTATGTCTTCTTTTGAAAAATGTCTATTCAGGTCTTCTGCCCAGTTTTAAATTGGGTTGTTTAGGGTGTTTTTGTTTGTTTGCTTGGTTGTTTTTGATATTGAGTTGTATGAGCTGTTTATATAGTTTGGATATTAACCCCTCATCAGTCATATCATTTGCAAATATTTTCTCCAATTTAGTAGGTTCTCTTTTTGTTTTGTCAATGGTTTCCTTTGCTCTGTAGAAGCTTTTAACTTTAATTAGGTCCAATTTGTTTATTTTTGCTTTTGTTTCCTTTGCTTTAGGAGACAGATCCAAAAAATATTGCTACAATTTATGTCAAAGAGTGTTCTGCATGTTTTCTTCTAAGAGTTTTACGGTTTCTGGTCTTAGATTTAGGTCTTTAATCTATTTTGAGTTTATTTTTGTTTATGGTATGAGAAAATATTATTTCATTCTTTTACATGTATCTGTCCTGTTTTACCAGCATCACTTATTGTAGAGACTGTTTTTTCTCCTTTGTATATTCTTGCCTCCTTTGTCATAGATTAATTGACCATAAATGCGTGGGTTTGTTTCTGGGCTGTCTGTTATGTTCCATTTATCTATATTTCTGTTTTTGTGCCAGTACCATACTGTTTTGATTACCGTAGTTGTGTAGTAGTCTGAAGTCAGGGAGTGTGATACCTTCATCTTTGTTCTTGTTAAGGTTGTTTTGGGTATTTGGGGTCTTTTGTGTGTCCATATAAATTTTACGATTATTTGTCCCAGTTTTGTAAAAAATATCATGGGTGTTTTGATAGGGATTGCATTAAATCTATAGATTGCTTTGGGTATAGGTAGGACTAATTTATTGGTGTGTTTTGCTCAGAGTGGATAAGCAGAGAGCAAGCAGACAGCCCAGGTCTGTCTCTAATAGCCTGATAAGGAGGATCCTATCCTAGGTTTCAACCACTATACTTTGGAGCCCAGAATCCTCTCAGGCAGGTTAAACCTTTTTTTATCCTCCATAACTGTTGGTTCGGCCCACAACCCCTTTCTACAGGAAGAAAATTTACATCTTCCCTGAAACATTCTCCTGTGTGTGTAGTTGGACAAGGGTCAACATACTTTTTTGGAGACTAAACAGTAAGTATTTTAGGTTTTTCAGGCCACATGTCCTCTTTCATAACTTTTCAACGCTACCATTGGAATGTAGTTGTAGACAGTATATTAAAAAATGAGCACAGCTGTGTTTTGATAATGCTTTATTTATGAACACTAAAATTTGAATTTCATATAATTTTTACATGTCACAAAATATTCTTCTTTTCTTTTCTTTGAGCCATTTAAAAGTATAAAGACCAGTCTTAATTTGCAAGGTATACAAAAGCAGATGGTAACCTGGAAGGTTTGCCCTGTGAACCATGGTTTGCCAAACCCTGTGCTAGGCTGTTGCTCTCTCTGCCCTGTTCTACCTATCACTGTTATTTCTACCTTTTAAAAAGTTTTCATAATCTCTGGTATGCTGATGCTTTTCACTCCCTTTTAGTGACCTAAGGGTCAACCTTTCATTCTACCCAGGCCTTCAATGGATTGGATGAGGTCCACGCACATTAGGGAGGGCAATCTGCTTTACTTAATCTGAGGATCCAAATGTTAATCTCATCCAAATACACCCTCACAGTAACACCCAGAATAATGTTTGATCAAATATCTTGACACTGCATGGCCCAGTCAAGTTGATACATAGAATTAACCATCATTCTCACATAGCTAGTAAATGATAGAGCTAGGATTCACAACCGTGATGAGCTGTCTGATGACAAAATTCAAGCTTATTTACAATTTGTACCTGGACCCAAACTCAGCATTAGTATCCTAAAGGTAGCCTTTTATTTAGCCAGTTTATGGATATTTGCGTAAGGAATGAGGCATATTTGTCTTGATAAAATGAGTAAATTCGTAGTAACCAGGATGGTTCGAGATTGTGATATGAAACAAGTAGTAAGTGAGACATACTTAACACAGAGGTGAATGATTTTGAGTTTCAGAAGACCTGTCTTAATCTTGTGAAAGAGAAATTAGACCCCTTTGTTTCTCCAAAGCATAGAAATTTCAGTTTCAACTCATATTAAAGAACTTTTTATCAGAGTTGTCCAGCACTGAAACAAGATTTTTAATCATTTAAGTATATTTGCTTTTAAAAATCTTTAGAATTTTAAGGCCATGTTTTTACCTTTTATATTTTTTATTCCCCAAAATGCAAAGTTAAAAAAAAAAATTAAAGACCATTTTGTAGTATAATTTTACCATTCTCCAGAGTGAAAGATTTGAAATTAATTTTGTAGTCTGTTTGGTATTCTAAGTTTATTTTAAAAAAATTTAAAAAGCAGCTCATGTTTCCTTTTTCTATTAACATTTCCTAAATGAACTCACATGGAATTAATGAATTACTATCATATATGATGATCATTTTCCCTCATTGAGCATTGGAATATGTTCATTTTAGAGCTTATCAGTAGCTCAGTCTTGATTCTCTAGTTGAAGTAGTTATGTCAGCCTTTGCATCTGGCTCAAGGTCTTGAGTCCTTTTTCCATAGGAAAAATCTTTTTGTGATAAAAATATACATAAGATTTATTATTGTAATCATTTTTAAGTGTACAATTCAATGGCATTAGGTATATTTATGATGTGTAAACATTGCCACTATCTTTTTCCAGAGCTTTTTCATCATCCCAAAGGGAAATGCTTTACCCATTGAGCAATAACCTTCCCACTCCATCACTGCAGCCTCTGGTACCTCTCTATTCTACTTCCTGTCTCTATGAATTTGCCTATCTAGGTACCTCACATAAGTGAAATTGTATAATATTTGTTCTTTGTTAGCATTTGCATAGTGTTTTTCACTTAGTATAGTGTTTTGCAAAGTTCATCCATCTTGTATCATGTGTCAGAACTTCATTCCTTTTTATGGCTGAATAGTATTCCATTGTAAGTATATAGCACATTTTGTTTATCCATACATCTGTTGATAGACACTTGTTCTGTTTCCATCTTTTGCCTATTGTGTATACTGGTGTAATGAACATCAAAGTACAAGTATCTGTTAGAATTCCTTTAGGTATATACCAAAGAGTAGAATTGCTGCAGCATATGTTTAACTTTGTAAGGAACTACCAAAGTGTTTTCCACAGTGGCTTAACCATTTTGCATTCCCACCAGCAGTACAGAGAGGTTCCATTTTCTCCAAATCCTCAGCAACTTTTGTTTTCTTTATTTATTGGATAATAGCTGTTCTAATGAGTTTGAAGTGGTATCTCATTGTGGTTTTGATTTGCATTTTCCTAATGATTTGTGATGTTAGCATCTTTTGCAATCTAGATATGCTGAGAATTTTCCAAATCATCAAGTGCTGATTTCTTTTTGCTTAACTTCCTCAGTTTATCTCCTTTTATCCTTTTTCATTCCTCAATTTATCTCCTTTCTCTCACATTTTACCATAATTAGCAAGGAGAAACCAGTAAATGCCTTCAACATTTTGCTTGGAAATCTCAACTAAACATTCAGGCTCATCACTTACAAGTTCTACTTTTCACCCAACATTAGAACACATGTCAGTTTTGCTACATTGTAACAAAGACTGCCTTCCCTCTAGTGTTCAATAACATCTCTCATTCCCTTCTTGAGACTTCACCAGAAGTCCAGTTAATGTTCATATTTCTGTAACATTCTGTTCCTGACAAATAAGTGTATTCTCTAAGATGATACAAGTGTTCTCAGCCATCCTGTTCACTTCCTTCTGAGCATTCACCAGAATCTCCTTAACGTCTCTTATTTCTATTGGGTTGGCCAAAAAGTTTGTCCGGGTTTTTATGTACCATTTTATGGAAAAGCCTGAATGAACTTTTTGGTCAATCCAATATCAGATGGCTCTTCAAGGCAATCTACCAATAGTCTCTTCAGTCATTATTATTTTTCTTAAATTTTTTGTTATCTGTTACAGCAACACCCCACTTCCTGGTACCAAAATCTTTTTAATTTCCTAGGAATTCCATAACGAATTACCACAAACTTGGTGGCTTAAAGCAACAGAAATTTACTTCGTTACAGTTTCCAGGGCCAGAAGTCCAAAATTATGGTGTCAACAGAAGTATGTTTGTTCCAACAGCTCTAGAGGAGGATCCTTCCCTGCCTCCTCCAGCTTCTGGTGGCTCCTGTCTTTCCTTGGCTGTGGCAACATAACTTCAATGTCTGCCTTCATTTTCACATTGTCTTTTTCTCTGTGTCTCTGTGTGTCCTTTTCGGTCTCCTTTGAGGACATTCTCATTGTATTTAGGGCCCACCCTAATCTAATATGATCTCATATTGATCCTTACCTTGATTATATCTGCAAAGATCCAGTATTACAATAAGGTCACGTTCTGAGGTTCCAAGTAGACATGAGTTTGGGGGAAAGGGAGAACACTACTCAACCCACTATAGTCTCTTTTTAGGTAATTATATTATAAATGTGTTATATAATTATTTATAATTTTTAAAACTCAAAGTTTTGCATAATATTTTGTTGTGAGATTATTTCACCATACGCCAATACTGTTAATGTTAATATTCATATTAGAAAGTGCCAAATAGGGAAATCACTTTTCTTTTTAGACTTTATAATATATATTAGAAGTATGAGGTTCTTTAATGTGTCTTTGCTTTTTGATGAGGATATTGTACACATGGGCATACACACACATGAATAAAGCAAAGTTCTGTTAACTTAAAGTTTGTTACTCAGTATTTATTCACACCATATAGTGAGATCCTAAATCACCTCTCAAATTGAATGGAAGGAGTGTGTGATTAGATTTTCTTGAGATTTGGGGTGTTTTAAGACTGACTCCAGGGACTTCCCTGGGGGTCCAGTGGTAAAGAATCCGCCTTTACAATGCAGGGGACGTGAGTTCGATCTCTGGTCAGGGAACTAAGATCCCACATGCAGCCAGGCAACTAAGCCCACACACCACAACTACTGAGCTCACATGCCTCAACTAGAGAGCCTGTGTGCCACAAACTACAGAGCCCACATGCTCTGGAGCCCACGCACCACAACCAGAGAGAGAAAACCCACATGCCGCAACTAGAGAGAGAAAACCCGCACGCCACAACTAGAGAGAAGCCCATGCGCCGCAATGAAAGATCCCGCATGCCTCAACGAAGATCCTGCGTGCCGCAACTAAAGACCCAACGCAGCCAAAAATAAATAAATAATAAATAAATCTTTAAAAAAAAAAAAAAAGACTGGCTCCAAAATGTTTAGTGAGTTCTTCAAATATTTCAGTAACTCAGAGGAAAACATATTTTTATGAGTAGCAGCAATATAATTTAAGTATATTTAGTTGAGTGTTCTAAGATCAAGCACAGTGCCTGTAAGTGGATGAAAGAGTATATTTAAGCACAATTGTTGTTACAGAAAAAACAAAAAAGAAAAAATCAACCCTCACTTTTAAGGGTCCTAAGAGAAAAGGGAAGAAAGATGTTAGGGTCATAAAGAGAGGAGATTAAATAAAATAAATAAAACAAAAATTGGGGTTGAAACAGAAATGCATTATAAAGGAGGGAAGGTAGATTGGCAAAAATGAGGAAGTATCAGAAAAGTGAAATGTACAAAAGCAAAGGCAAGAAATAGGATGGGGAAGACTTTAAGGAGAGCAAAAAATAAGAAATAATGCTATGACTAGCTTAGCGTTAAAGGGTAAAAGATGAATATATCAGAGTTTCTTTCAAATTAAGTCAAATTAATGGTGATTATTAGAGAGTAACTGTAGTCTTGATATCATACACTCAAGTCAAGCTTCTCATGTCATTTTCCCTGTAGAAAATAGTAGGAACCATTTTATGTATTATTCATTAAATTGCAAGTAAATATATTATTTATGATATATTGACATGTGATATTATATATTACACAAACTTATATATATTTATTATTTATATTATATACATTTCAAGGTAAATATTCATATGTTATCTTCTTTTAATGGCAAAAATTTGGTTTTTGGTGTAAACGATGAAACTTTGCATGTAAACACATAAAGCAAACTGTTTAATGTTTCACCTAACAATGGTGATACATCATTTCCTCAGTCATAAGAACTGACATGGAGTTATTGTTGAATATGAGGCAGGTTTTGACATCCAGGAGAATATCAAACATAATATGTTTTGCCTTTGACATATTATGACGGGTCACGGAGTTTTTCTACAATATCAGGTGCATTCCTCATATTCAGTAAATATCACACTAATCAGGCTTAACATATCAGCATTACAAACTACTTCTCCGCTGCCTTCGTATTCTTAAAACTAAAACTAACCCTAGATATTCATTCATGCTGACTTGTAGAAATGAATGTTATATCCTCTCTATTACCTGCAAATTGTTTAGAAGGATTTGATATATCATAACTGTATATGGTTGGCTTATCAACTTCTTTAAGTCCTTGACCACAGTTTTCTCTAGGTTGATTGACGTATTATGTCACCCATTTACTTTCTTCTACTTAAATTCTCTGGTAAATAAAGGACTTTAATATTCTGCTTTTTAAAATCATTTTATCCGAAGTGTCATTGAATATCTGAATTCAGAACCCTATTGATCCAATAAGGAAGATGCACCTTAACAGCTGAGAGACACTTGGTCATATTATATACTAATTCAACTCAGTATGGCTGAAAGAAGCCTTTACTTAATATAATTTTGATTTCCTGCTTTAGGAATCCTGAAACCATGGATCACCTATATATGCTTTGAGACATGCTTTAGATGTTTTTTCTGGAAGCCCTGCAATTACCCTAAAAATTGAATGTATCATTGAAAAGACCTATGGTAAGTGGGTTTTTTTCCTTCTTTTTCTTCTGTCGGTTTCATGTTGTGGTTAAGTCTTATGAATGTTGTAATGCTGCTCCCTGCTGGACATAGTATAATTTTTTAAAGTTGGCACTTAATAGATGGGCAAATAACTGTTTAGCTGGACCCACTATAGAGGGGAATCCTTGCCTGCATTCACAAAAAAACAACAGTATACAACCAAAGCAGCTCCGTTTTCATAATGGGTGATACCCATTATGTTGATATCTGAAGCCTGATCAAAGTGCTGATAGTCTTGTTTCTAAGTTTTATTGTCTGCTTCCTGTTTAGTGGCACCTAAAAGTTGTAACAAACATACATTGAAGGGTGCTTGTAGGTGATGGAACTTTTAGGATTTCCTAAATTGTATGTGTGTGTATATGTTTGTAATCTGTCTGATTATTATTATTATTATCTCGTTTGTAATCATTTAAATTCCCTTTATGTTTTTCCAAAGGAACTATTTAAAACATCTTTAGTATAATTTAAATTAGACACTGTTGGATCTATTTTGAGTGAGTTACCCTACATTACATTTTATACAGTGGACTTTAAGTGTAACTTGTTTTGTATATCCATCCTGTAATCTAGTGGTTATGTTTTCTAGTGCACACAGTGAACCATTCTTACACAGAGTGACATTGGATTGGATCTCAAGTGTCATATTTGTGTCCATCCTATTATGAACCCTCATACTGAATGCAAACACAGGTGTTCCTAAAATTGTTTTAAAATGTGTGAGAGTTAAAAGTTTTTCTTCCTACTTTTGAGCTAAATTATTATATATTTTTTGGAGTGCAGCCTGCATAAAATTAATATCTGGATGTAATATAGATTTATTTTGAAAGTAAGCATACATTTTCTTGAAAAGAAGAAAAAGCAACAGGCACAACATTGAGCTAAGCAAAAATTTAACAAAATAACTGATCTTATACTCTTTAATGACCTGGTACTTTTTTTGTGGCCATTTGGAAAGCCTGTAAAATCTGTTCTTTATTAAGATTCTGGAGAATTAGGCATAGTAACTTATTTCTTTATTATTAAAATATTGCAATAAAAATTAGAAATGTAGACCAACAAAATAAAATTGTTAGCAAAAAAGAGGAGCCCTTTCTTCCTTCTCTTTCAGAATATATTTTTTCAGAAAGCATATCATTTTAAACATTTTTATTATGAAATATAACACTATATAGAAACATAAAATGAATAAGTATAAAGCAGACATTCAGTAACCATAGATCATTACTGACATACCAGAAGCTCTTGGTATAATCTTCCTTTTCCTTAGAGGTAACCAATGTCCTGATTTTTGTGATAACTATTTAGATAATTCTCTATATAATTTTATCACTTTTATGTGTATTCCTCAGCAATGTGTTCACATTTTGCCTCTTTTTAATCTTTATGGACTCATATGTATTCTTTTTTTGGATAAACTTTTTTGTATTTTTGTTGGAAATGTTTTTGTTATTTTTAAGGGGTATGAAGAAATAGAGAGCTTAAGGTAAAGTCAGAGGGCTGACTTCACTGTACTAAAGAGCTTAGGGACAGGAGGAGTTGTAAGGAATTTAGATGTAGCTGCAATCAGAATGGGATCAAGATGCCTGGGGACAAGTTTGTAGCCTTTCAGGGTAAGTGAGAGGCTGGAAAGATCGCTAGGAAAGGACAGCATTCTTGAGGAAAGTGTATAGGCTAGGCATGGAAAGCATTATGCTGATGGGACCTATCACAGTGCTGTCAGAGAATAATGGGGGAAGTCAGGTGAGTTATCTAGTCTGCACTGCCTCCAGGTCTCCAAACCTGATGCTGTCACAGTCCTCACAGGGTATCTCTTGGAACGAGTCTGGGGCAGAAGCTCAGAGCCCCTTCTCAGTAGGGATGGAGGGGACCCTGCTGCTGCCACTGTCACTTCTCAGCCTCCACTGCATTGCAAAGGGTAGAGGAGATTCCCAGCAACGTGGCTCAGGCCTTGCAGCAGCATCATGGAGGTTCAACTGGATGAGCTCCCTGAGAACTTTCTTTGGGCCAAGTTCTTGAAAGTCACAACTCATGGAGTAGATCCTGTAGAGTGTGGCTTTGATGTTCAGGCCAAAGAGGTCTCAAGGATTTTGCTTGTATATGTTCAAGGTAATGAGGGCAATGTCCTTGCTGTGCTTGGGCTTCTCCCAGCCTAGGCCATATGATAGCACCTACTCCTGCTGGGGCTCCAACTCTGCTTGAACTCCAGCATCATCAGGCATGTATCCTCTTCCAACAATTGGAAGAAGTCCTTGCAGTCCACAGAGGTCCCATCCTCGTCTATCACCAGTGTTAACCACAGGGTCTCCAGTGCTTTGTCTGGTAGTTCCTGGCAGGTGGCAGCTGTGATCACAGACACAGAAAGGTGGCTAGAGTGGTGGAGCTGGGGTCCAGACCCTACAGCCAGTCTTGGAGCTCATATTGGATCCTGACTGAGCTTGGAGACTGTGACCACCTTTGTACTTTCCTTTGGGTTGGTGCTAGATTGCTGCAGTGTGACACTGCTGCAGCTGTGGGGTGCTCCTGTGGGGTAGCATGGGACGCAGATGGGCCTACTGGTGAGCCCCATTGTCCGGAATCATATGCATTCTTTCTTCCTTTACCCAGCATTATGTTTTGAAGGTCATCTACATAGTTGCATGTAGTTTTATTTTATTCATTTTCATTATCATGTGTTATTCCTTTGGAATGAATATGACAGAATTCATCCATTCTGTTTTTGGTGGATGTTTGGGTTCTTTCTGGTGTTTGGCTATTATAATGAACATTTCCATGAATGTTCTTTTACATATCATATGTTGATTTTTATGTGTCAAGTGGAAAAAGGTCATATATTTTCAGGTTAAAGATAATTGATTATAGTGGTGTTTTAAATTAATTTAAATGAGTACATGAGAAAGTTGTTGTATCCTGAGAGTGACACATATTAAGTGTTGGAAAAGATTCTGAAGTGATCATAATTTCTTTACTGTAGGCCTTAAATATATGGTAGAGTGCCATGTAACTTGTGACAGTTTAAAAATAGTATATGTGTAGTAGATATACAGATATAGGACCTAATGTAGTAACTCTTTGTTTTACTTTATTAGCACTTTGATTCCATTTACTATTATATCATGTTTTCTATAACTTCTTCACTTTACTGATGAAGAAAATAAGGAGAGCTAAAGAGATTGAGTGAATTGCACAAGGTTGGAGCTAGAAACCAGACCAAACTGTCTACTTAGTGGCAGTCACAGTTTAAAGAAAACAAAGTGAGAAGTGAAATCAGGATACATTCTTGAGTGTGTCCAGCCATTGAAGTAGAGAATTTGCATGACTAGCTTCCAGAAATTATCAGGTATTCTTTTGACTCTTAACCAAGAAGTGGCCTTGCACAGAGAATTGTATGTTTAAAGGCCCCCAAAATGTTACTGTACTTTATTACAATTCATCTTCTGAAAGGCAACTGTGGTATATTCTAACTTTGAGAATCTTACTTAGAGTAATTCCTCATTCATTGGCCTGTTATTAACAAGTGGTGTACTATTTCCTCATCTGTTAATTTTGTGAATAATTGAATCTTATCCTTTTGTGTGCCAAAGTTTATTTCATATGAATATTTTTTTATAAAATGTTTTTGAAATATAAAATGTACCCTTCTGTCTTCTTAAACAGAACAAATTGAGTATAATGTAAGTTGTTTTTGTTTTTTTTGATGGGTCAGAGTTGTTATTGTGAACATTAGTCATTTCACAGAATTTATGTGATTTCCTCAGAGACCATTATGCTGTCTAGGACCGTTTTCCTAAATTGTCTTAGACTGATAACTTTTATGTCCTGGGTGCTGCTTACGATGTGGTTTTTTTGTTGTTGTTTTGTTTTGTTTTACCTTTGTTAGGTAATTCTTGGTTTTTACTCTCAGTGCATTATATTAACTCTAATGTAAAAATCAGCATTTACCTAACATGTTCATTGGTTAGGTGAGAGCTTAAGTATGGTCTACCCCATCTACTGATTAAGGGCATAGAAGGTAAATTTAAAATTTACTTTGGGGTCAGCAACTTGTCTTACTGCTTTGTTCCAAGAGACTGAGATTATCTCACAACTGATTTCTGGATGATTGAAATGGAGCCTAGATTTGCATGTATCAATACTATGGTATCCTTATTTGGGGAATAAAAATTATGTACATATTTTCTTATAAAACAGTGATATTGAAACTGGATTTACTTAAGGATTCCTTAAATAGGAAGTCCAATGAGCTTAAGTGGTTGTTTTTAATGATAAAATATTTGACAGGATGGGCTTTGAAATAAAAACAATGTATTAGGTGACATTGCCTATTGAAAATGTCAGTCATAAAGATTAAACTACCTTTGAAATGATAGCTTTGTAAAGGAAAATATAGAAGTAACATAGATTTGGTTTCCAGAAAACATTTAAGTGCTTCAGGAAAACATTCATTTAAAAGTGAAATGCATTTGACTGCTTTCCCAATTATAGAGTACTGAATGTGAATTTAAAGGAAAAAAATTGGGATGGGGGTGTATATTTGTTTTTAAATGAAAGGAGATCTCGGGAAGAGAGATAGACAGTTGCTATCCCAGCACATTAGGCATCAATATGATGATTTCCTACATCAGCGATATTTTTCCAACTTGAAAACTAAGTCAGCAATTTTACATATGCATTTGGGGACAAATAAACAAAGAACTTCATATAGTTTTTTCCAATGAGAACACCTTTGAGAATTGCCTGATGAACAAAATATCTTAGAGGCCCAAAGAGAAGAATAGCTTTTTCTGGTATACATCTGAGATGTATATGTGGTGGAAGCAAAATGACACAGCCCCCACAGAAGAAAAATTAGCAATTTCTAGAGAAAAATTAGCAATTTCTAGAGAAAGAAAATGCATTTATACACTTGTCTCAGCCAATTCTGGGAATTTATTACAGATATACTTATGTACTTATAAAAT